AATTTTAGATTGAATTCATTAAGAAGCTGTCAAAAACAAAAACCTCCAACACCAACAAGGCAGACGGCACGGTTGGGGGCAGTAGCAGACTGCAGTACACAAGTTCCCTCTACAGAGGGCGTTGCCTCTATTCAACTCTGACTAAAGTCATTTAAGACTCTGGCCCCATGTTGCTGGATGTTTTGTTTTGTCAAAAGCCGTAAGTCTGAATTTTTAACTTAAACAGTTCCTTTTTTTTTAATTTAAGGTAAGCTACTAATTAAAAATTTTACATTTTGCCCAGGTCAAACAAAACACAAGTTTCTGAGTCAGATTCAGCTCACAGGCTTTCCATTCATTATAATCTTCCACACCTCGCATGTTGCCTGGTATATGGTTAGGATTCAAGATGCTTATTAAATATCTAGATAACTGGATGGACAATTGGGGGTAACATACATGTAATAGAAGTTAGAAACTTCTCATGTCAATGCCCAGGTGATAATGCTCCTAACCAGCTTGCTAGACTGGGTGGCCCACTGCATTCCCAGGCAACATGCTGACAGACGCCTCCGCTCTCACACCACTTCACTCTGTCCTTGCAGCACCTCTTCCACCAGGAGCTATTTGCATGGCTAGGGTCCGCTGTGTTCGCATATCTGAATATGCCACTAGCATAAATAATTAAAAAACAAAAATGGGATACAAAAGCACGGAAATGGGTATAACAACAATAAAAAAAATGGAGCAAAAATCTACAAGGCGTCCACCTATGTTCATATTGCTTCACCACTGTCTAAGCGCTCATTCCTCTTCAAATAACCCAAACTCGAAGTCACAGATAACATTTTACAAGTGCAGTTTAAGCAGAAAAAGATGATGCAGAACTTAAATAAATACACCCACATGCAAAGAAAAGACCTTGGCCCTTTATCTAAAGGTGGGCAAATGAATATATATGTATGCTTAACTTTATAAATAAGATCCATTTTTATGATTCCCTGCTTCCACTGGATTTTCTAATTAACTGACCAGCCACAGCTCTAACTGAACGACATGAGAGACCTCTGACAGGTAGTTCAGGTGACAGCCACTTAGACAAGTGGAGAAAATCTGTAGACAATGACCTTTGCTGATCTTTGCAGCAACTTCTCTGATGATGCTCTTGTGTCCTGAGACACGCAGGTGTTCTCATCTTTTTTAACTGGTGCATCCGCATCCACTTTTCCTTAATTAAAAAGAGAGAAAAAGAAGAGGAGGAATCGGTTAGACACATATATATTAGGCATAAAGACTCAGGATTTTTAAATTCAGAGCTGCAAGGATTCTTGGATACCGTTTACTCCAAACTACTCATGTTACAGAAAAGGAAACCCAGGCCCGCAGTGGTTAGGTGACTTGGCTAAGGTCAATCACACATCACCAACTTGTATTAATGCTCACACGCAGCAGGCCACCTTCCACCTACTTAGTGTTATTAAGATGTTAAGCATCATACAAGTGGAGAGCATCAAACTACATGAATCGAACTAAATTGCCTATGAGTCAAAATGCCCAAAACACTGAATGTCAAATACTGCCACAGCCCATAATGAGGAATCGAGATAGGTTAATTTATTATGCACATCTGTTGAAGTAAAACAAAATCAAAATAAAAGTTAACTTTTAAAAGTACTGTGGTATCAACCATAATAAACAAAATGGTGGAAAATAGATTATGTTTATCAAATAAATAAATAAGCCAATGCTGATTTTCCTGGCTTTTCTTGGTGACATTATATAAAGAGTAAAGTATTTAAAAGTCTCTTAATGTTTAATTTTCTTTCTTAAAAAACTTATAAAATACACATTCACCCAAAAAATTGAAACCACATCTCCCCAATAAAGAGAGGTTTAGGCTCTGAACCAGAAGTATTAAAACTACCCATGAAGCAGCAAATTACACACTTCTGAACATTTAATATTTTTTATTTTCATGTGTTACATTAGATTTCTTCCACAAAATATTCTTACCCATCTTATACTGGAGTTTCTGGATACTAGCGGTCATAGCCAATTCACGTGGGACCCACTCCCACTTAGATAACTAAGAAAGACTTATACTTATCATCATTTTGACATTACCAAAGCCAAAATAAATTTAAAAAATAAATTCTTTTCAAAACTGGTTGCCTCATTGCAAAAGCTCAGCTTTAAGCCAACTTTTACCATTCTGGGCATACTCTAGAAACACTGACATGGTTGGATGTACTGGGGCTTAAGAATGGTCAACTCATTGCTTTTCCATCTATAATGAAATATACCTACCATAGTTCCCACTGAAAGTAGAATCTCACTGTTTTCCAAAAAGAAAAAATAAAAACTTTCCCATTGTTGATCACCCTGTCTGTCAGTAAAAGAGGGTCATCATCCAAATTCATCTTTTATTTTAGACATTTCAGAATTCCAAAATCATCAGCTGCTTCCAGAACATCTTTTATACTCTCAGGGAGAAAAAAAAAACAAAAACACGCTGATCTATTCCATAACATATCTTGCCAATGTGTTCTGCAGAACACGGTAATTCAGAAAAGATTAGGAGGCTAGAATTATTAGTATACTCTAGCTAGATACCTGATATCTGAGTTTTTTATCTCAAGAGCCAGCAGTGAAGAGATAGCAGTGAGGGTATTTCCAAGGCAGCCGAAATCCTGGGCATGCAGCTTTCTGTGACAGGCACTTGTGGCCCCACTTTCAAGTACTATTGCTTTAGATTCCATCCTAACACCAAACAAGTCTTCTGTTCCAAAGTTATGCCATCCAAAGAAAGAGGGGGTGCGTTGGTGGTATAGTGGTGAGCATAGCTGCCTTCCAAAGAAAGAGGGCAAGCCATGGAAGTGGGCCCAGTCATGATTGTCAGATACCACACCTGAATATGACCTTTTCGGGTTCTGTGTTCATAGAGAGATCCTGGCAGAAATAAGGCTGTGTTCAAAGACACATTCTAATAAATTAAACTGAAGTTTATTGCTCTGTAGGTAAGCATCAAAGATGTTAAAGGAATGTGAAAAAACACAATACCAGGTAAGAAAGGTGAATCATCTTAATAGGTTTCCAACAATGACGTCCCGCCATACTGAATAGCAAAGTTGTCAATTTAATGAGAGAATCCACCACACTGTTGAGTCACAAAATCATTTATTTAGTCATTTATTCCATGTGTATTTTTTTTAGAACCAGGCATTGAAAATTTAGTGGTGAATAAGAGAAACATGGTCCCAGCCCTTATGGCATATATATTTTAATATGGGAGTGATATTCAATAAATAATTACTCAGTACATATAAAGCTATAAATTGTGATAAATGCTAAGAAGAAAAGAACAGTCCCAAGGAGGAGGCTGAGAGAATATATTATTTAGATTTAATAAGAGGTCAGGGAAAGGCCCTGTGTGGAAATGACATTTAAGCTGAGATGTAAGGATGGTATGTGCAAGAGTGCAAAAGGGGACAAAAGACCCCAGGTAGGGAATAACATTTGGGAAGATGCAGTGGTGCAAAGTTCTTGGCACAATCAAGCCGCAGAAAGAAGACATACAGCTGGAGCGCAGTGAGCAAGGACAGGCGGGGCAACTGGTGAGAACGAGCGGACAGGAGTAAAGTTAGGTGGAGCCTTCTAGGATTTAAGAATCTCAAATACAGTGGGAAGCTGACCTGGGATTTTGAAGGAGAAAGTAACATTGCCCAAGGGGAGTTTACAGCAGGCTGCAAGGGGATGTAGGGAGTTAACAGCTACTGCAGTAGTCTGGACGTAAGAGGATAATGCAGCAATGCAGGCCCTGGAGACGGAACTAACAGGATCAACTCAGGATGTATCTTGGAGTTGAACTAATAGACTTTGGGGGTACTCAGATATGAGAGTTTAGGGATTACTAGATATGAGAAGTGAAGGATTATTTACAGCTTTCCAACTTCTGCAGGTGGTTGATGGAGGAATCATTGTTGGCACAGAGAAGACTGAAGGAGGTGAAAATCAAGAGCTCTATTTCTGAGGTGGTTCTATTTAAGAGGCCAACATGAAAACCTTCACATGGTGAACCTGAGTAAGCAGTTCAACATGAAGGTCTGGAACTCATAAAGGCAGATCTGGGCTGTGGCTCTAAATATAATTTATGTGCTGAGAACTTTCATATTTGTACTTTCCAGCCCATGCTGCTGAGAAGAGATTCAAACCCAAGTGTGTTCAACTACTAAGTTCATGAAGCTCTTCCACCGCTACGTACTCAAGAAAGTAGTAATGTGCTGTTAAGGAGAACAATTCACTGAGGAAGTGACTTGGGTTCTAAAGGATGTATAGATGTTGTGAAGATAGAGAAGGAATGTAAAGAGCATTCCCAGTAAAGTCTGGCACTCTGCAAAGGCCCAGACCTGTCGTGACATGGTAAAGGGTTAGTAAGGAATTCACTGTAGCTACCAGAAGGTTGAGGACACAGGTAGGCAGGAAGGGGCTGGGATAGGGAAAGAATCAAGGCTCCGTAAGGGTGGACAGATCCCATGGCAGAGATTCTAGTTACTGCCCAATTATCTCTCCTCTTCTTTCCTAGTAATAAGAACTCAAATTTTTAACTGGGTATACTAGTTAAAAGTCTACATTCCTAGCCTCCTTACAACTAAGCATGCTTATATGTCTAAGTTTTAGCCAATAAGATACAGGTTAAAGAGTTGTAAGTGACTTCTAGGGAGTGTCCTTACAGGACAGAGGCCCAGCCCTCTTTCATTCTTCCTTCTTGCCATCTGGAATGTGGGTTTGATAGCTGGATCTCAAGCACTCATCTCGGATCTGGAGGCCACAGGACAAGGGGGCTTCCTACTGTGCAGAGCAGCATGACACAATGAGTTGAAACTAGGAAGTAACCTATAAGCCCTGGCCTGCCTCCCTCTGTTTAGTTTTATGTGAGATAGAAGTAAACTTCTTTTTTATTTAAGGCATTGATATTTTAGGATTTAATGTTATTCTCAATAGAATATACTTTTTAATATACAGGTCTAGATGATGAGACTGACAAGCTTAAACACTATCCTGTGGAGCATTATAAAGGGAAGGGACACATACTTTTCAGGGCTATGAATCTGGCAGTAGCAGAGACCTTAAAAAGCTGGGGTTGCAGTCCAGGCAAGACACAATCAGAATCAGAATTAAGAAAGCAGCAGTGAGACTAAGATGAGGCAAGATTTGAGACGTATTTCTGAGAAGGATGCTGTCAAGTGTGTTTCCATCACTATGAACCACTTAGTTAGACTACAAAAAATTGGCTTAAATTTTAAAAGTTTTTGCTTGACAGATCAATAAAAGTCCATGATGAAAGTACTAGAAGAAATGACAGTCCTTAACAAGGATAAAGGTTATTTGTCCCCACAGTCTTCTGTTTGACATATTGGAGGCAGAGCTGTGGTCCCTTCTAGTTCCAAGAATTCTAGAAAGCAGTGACTACCAAATTTCTTCATCTAAAAGAGAGGATTTTGTAAAAAAAAAAAATAGATACACTTCTAATATAAGCAACTGTTTATATTATATTGCCCAAGGAACACTCTAGGAAGAAAAGTCCAGTGAAATCTTAATCTCTTCCTACAGATTACTGAAACTTCTATTTCTATTTTAAACATTTAAAAAGTAAAATGCCGTGGTTTGCTGGGGTTGGCACTGCCACTGACATAACAAGTGCAAACCCAACACCTCATTTTGATGAGAAAAATGATTCTGATTTCATCTTCTCATATATAAAAAACAAACTGACAAGTCGGAAGATTTTTAACACTTTACAAATACACCAAAATGTTTCCAAATGACTACACTGTGACGCTCGGTGGGGAATGTGCAGAAAAAAGGATTTGGGCAAAAATGTGTTCCAATTTATCCAATTAAAAGGGTGACAAACACTGACAGACCCAATCTTTCTCCATCTCTGAATGAAGGGCTGTAGAAATTTATAATTTCCAACAAGAACTCAATGACATCTGTAATATATTTCATAAAGAAAATATTTCCCTTCAGATCTCTTAAAGTCAACCAACCAGGAAAACTTATTTTATGGGCTCCTCTCCTCACTGAAATGTAGAAATGACGACACAAATTCTCATGAGGCAAGGTAACAGTCATGTTATCATCATTTGCTAGGCTGCCAGTTTGCCAGACATAGTGATGATGACCATTCGAGGACCAGCTCTTGCGAGGGCCAAGACTCAGGGGCAC